AGAACGTGCATTTTCTTCTATGAGACTCATCAAAAATCGACTTCGGAACAAGATAGAGAATGAGTTTTTTGCTGATTGTATGATACTTCACATTGAAAAAGAATTTGCTGATAGTATCGATAACGAATCAATAATTAATGATTTCAACTCTTTGAAGCCTAGAAGGGTGCAACTCAAATAGTTGTATTATGTATTTGCATTGCATATTTATTTATTATTGTCTTTTTTTATTAGTTTATATCTTATGTACTAGATGCATTTTGAGGGTAAGGCTCACTATGTCCCCCCTGATTAGGTGTATAATTTTTGTTATCCATGAAATTAACTCGTACCGTCGAGTTTGTTTATAAGGGAAATCCAGCCCAGTGTATTTCAAAATCCTGGATTTGTCCCTGGTTTTCTGGGCTTGGTAAAATACAGAAAACCACATAGAAGTTTACCTTTCCGATCACAACCTATTTGTCCCATTTGTCATCTTTTCAAAATTAGCACACCCGGATCCAATGTTTGTGCACTCTAAACTCCTCAGAAGATCCAAGCACCCTAGTCAAGTAATAATTTTCATCCAAAACCTTTAACACCTTCCAGAAACCAACATTGAACACCTAAACAACATCACCAACTGTTAAAATCTCCGCACTTTGAACAGGTGGAGGGCAAGGCCTAATATCCTTCCTTGGGGTTTTCTGGGCTTGGTTTGATTGTTTTTGTTTTTGTTTTTATTTATTTATTTGTTTATTTGTTTATTTATTTTTAAATTGGGGAAGATGGATGGGGCGGGTGGAATTGATATTTGTTTTTAAATATTCCTTTTTTTTATTGAAAATAATTGATTTTAATTAACTTAAAAAGTAAAGAATTTTTTTACATATTTTATTACACCTAAGCTAAAAAGGTGGACTCCACATTTGCCACGTCATCACTTAACAGAAGACCAAGCGGTTAAATTAACGGAACGTGTAAATTAGTCGAATTTTAAAACCTTATGACGTAAATTGACAAAATTAAAGCTACATGACCCATTTCAAGAATGACCTCAAATCTTAAGGGGATAAAATGATGTTAGCTCAAATTAATTTGTAATATGTATAGGTATAAAAAGTATTTCCAGGGGGTCGTTACCAAGCTCTACACGTTAATAGAAGCATGAGCTGCTACTCTTCCATTTTCCTAAAAACTCTCCCTTATCAAGACCATATGAAGCAGGAGGTGTCTAAAGGGACACAGAATAAAGGTACTTACTAGATACAAAATGAGTTTCATCGATTGTAAAGTAATTAGACTATTTTCCACTTGTATAAAACCGAAGATTAGTGTTTGAGGGACCACATTATTTTAATTCATTGGATGTCGGTTGTATACATCATTCACCACATATGATTAAAAAATTGCTGCTATTTTATCATTAATTTAATGTTTTTAACTTCACCGTATGACTTAACACTGCACAATGCCCCAATCTTCAACTGGTAAATGATTTAATTTTCTCTTCCAAAATAATTATTAAGAGACCAGTACTAATAAATTAATATATATATATATATCTGTTTGCCCGTTTTGCGTTCACTCCTGTGATGGAAGGGCAAAGTTCCCCACTGCCTTGAGAACCATAAACTGGTTGACAAGTCAGCTTTCTTTGGTGTGCGAGCGTGCCACTGCTAGCAATACAAATTCTAGCAGACTTAGTTTGGAGTAGATAACTTGCGCCCCAAGTTACTGATTTCTGCAAACAAACGATTGTGAATTTGGGTGAGGAATATCTCCCAAGTAAGTTCTTTTCTTGCCTCAGACGGGTGAGGACTTTAACAATTTATCTCAGTATAAAAAGGCTGTTCTGGCCAGAATGGTTGATGGAATTTAAACTGTTTCAGGCAGAACTGATGGAATTTAAACTGTTTTTAGGCAGAACTGATGGAATTTAAACTGTTTTTAGGCAGAACTGATGGAATTTAAACTGTTTTTAGGCAGAACTGATGGAATTTAAACTGTTTTTAGGCAGAACTGATGGAATTTAAACTGTTTTTAGGCAGAACTGATGGAATTTAAACTGTTTTTAGGCAGAACTGATGGAATTTAAACTGTTTTTAGGCAGAACTGATGGAATTTAAACTGTTTTTAGGCAGAACTGATGGAATTTAAACTGTTTTTAGGCAGAACTGATGGAATTTAAACTGTTTTTAGGCAGAACTGATGGAATTTAAACTGTTTTTAGGCAGAACTGATGGAATTTAAACTGTTTTTAGGCAGAACTGATGGAATTTAAACTGTTTTTAGGCAGAACTGATGGAATTTAAACTGTTTTTAGGCAGAACTGATGGAATTTAAACTGTTTTTAGGCAGAACTGATGGAATTTAAACTGTTTTTAGGCAGAACTGATGGAATTTAAACTGTTTTTAGGCAGAACTGATGGAATTTAAACTGTTTTTAGGCAGAACTGATGGAATTTAAACTGTTTTTAGGCAGAACTGATGGAATTTAAACTGTTTTTAGGCAGAACTGATGGAATTTAAACTGTTTTTAGGCAGAACTGATGGAATTTAAACTGTTTTTAGGCAGAACTGATGGAATTTAAACTGTTTTTAGGCAGAACTGATGGAATTTAAACTGTTTTTAGGCAGAACTGATGGAATTTAAACTGTTTTTAGGCAGAACTGATGGAATTTAAACTGTTTTTAGGCAGAACTGATGGAATTTAAACTGTTTTTAGGCAGAACTGATGGAATTTAAACTGTTTTTAGGCAGAACTGATGGAATTTAAACTGTTTTCCGCCATTGCTGACTTTTATCCCAGAGGCTGCCATGTGGGATTGTTCCCTCTTCTGGTCTGGACTCCCTCTTCCTATTATGTTGGGTCTGTGAGGCCCAACTCAGCTTTGTTTGTTCTGATGGGCCTTGGGCTGGATGTGTCAATTTTTGGCCCAAACAATATCAAAAGTAAAATAAATAAATTTTCTTCTCATGGGAGTAAAATACTTATTCAATGGAAGTCATTTTTACACTTCATTTTTATATAGGCTATAGCAGTAAAAGTTAATTCTTTTTTTAAAAAAAATTTATTTAAACTTTTGAACGTTGAAAGTATAAAGGAGACGTTAGCCGATCAGTAAAACGGCTGTTTGCGTGCATGGTTCCCATCCTCGCAAGCTGAAAAGGCCGAAAACTTACACCCACACTTCCACTACATAGAGGTCGTCACTCATGCAGGCCTATCCTCTCTCTCTCTCTCTCTCTCTCTCTCTCTCTCTCTCTCTCCTCCAACAAGGGCTCAACTTTCTGACTTAGGTAAGGTCGAAAAAAAAAACTCCACAAAAGGGCCCAATGACGAAAGCCATCAAGGGCCACACTAGACATCAAGCCCAGTGCAAACATAAGCTCAGCTCACTCCAAACATAAGGTACCCAAAGCCCACAACTCAAACTTGGTTTTTGCCAAACCCGAATTAAATTGCTCATATTAGTTAGTTTTGACCCAGTAGTGGAGCTACAGAGGCGCAAGAAGGTGCAGTTGCACATTCCTTTGTTTGAAAATCCCTTGGAGAGGCCGAAATCTGCCCATTTGCTAGTCGAGGCATGAAGGCGTGATCAGGGCATTTTTTAATTTGTAATTTGAATGGAGATGTGGAGTGCACTGTGCACTTGTTATGAAACACAGAGTCTCATTTATGTCTGTTTATGAGTATTGGGTCTTAGGCAATAGTATTAAGATGGGCTTTGGGTAATTATATTGTTTGGTCAAAATGAGAGTTTTCTTTTAAACAAGCATGTGAGGCTTAAGCCCAAGAACTTCAACAAGATATATAGGGCCCAAGAATGCTATGCTACATTTATAATTTTACAGATATGCTCATTATTTGTAATATATGTTTATATATTTATAATTTAATGCATTTATAATAATAATAAAAAATCGGAAAGGCTTATGCCTCAATGAAATAAAACGCCTTTCTTTATGCCTTAACATTTTAAACATTGGGTCGACCATGTGTTCGACTAAATAACTCAAAGAAACTTTATGTTTCGTTACGAATAATTGTAGCTTGCTTGTATTAATTTTTTTTTTCCTAAATTTTTCTTTGGAACTTTTAACCTTTTAAATATTGCCCTTCCCATGAAAATTTCATGACTCCACCACTATTTTGACCAATTTGAAAAGTGCATGAATTTTTTTGCCACACTTAGAAATGAGAATGCACCTATATAGACCAACATGTTAAAATGTCTCAAACTATAAATTGTAAGATCCATTTTGGTTTGGTCATAACTTGAATTAGTTTTTAAAATAATCGACTCAAATAGGTGCTCATTGATCAGAAGTGTTTTATTTAGTTTTGTTTATTTTCTTTGACAAAAAAACTTGTTGGAAATCACCAGTTGGGTTTGGTCCAAATCCAACTAATAAAGGCATGAGCAAGGTGTTTGAATCCTCCCTTTTTTAATATCACTTGTGTGTAGAAAGAAAAAAACTAATAAAAGCATGAGAGTCTTTGATCATCTCACAATAATTCAACGATCAATTCTTAATAAGAGTGACCCATTTATCTTTTCTTTGTTGATCTCTCTTTATCTAACAGCCAAACATGTTTTCTTTAAACTATATCCCATTACACAAAAACCTATTTACCCAATTAACAATTCGGCCAACAGACTAATAGGGTCCAATCTAGTAGAAATGGGCATTAACTTGCACACCAATAGTCTCATGTTTGAACCTTTATGGCACCTTGATAATGTGTGTGCGCCTTCCCTCAATATCAATTTTAATAATTAAAAAAAAATTAGGCCAATAACATAGCTATCTTTGCACGTAATAAAAGTAGCCTCGTCAGCCCAATGTTGCTGTCATTAGAAGTTGGACTTGCATGAGAACAATTGGTTTAACTTGGTGGTGCAGTAACTGAAATTTAGGCGCAGAACCCCCTACATAAATAGAAAGTGGCAACGCAGTCCCTTTCAGTGAGTCCAGAGTCAACACCACTGCTATGAAAATATCAAAACAAAGAGAAGGTGTTTCCTCCTTTCAATCCGGCGGTAGATGAGATGTCCTTTTGCTCCTTTCAAATTGAACAAAAAAAAAATCGTTTCATTGCCATTGACAAAGGCATATAGATTATATGTCCAATATCTATCCAATAAATTCTAGTCTTATCCTAATTTTTAGTTAATTACTAACTAAATATGACACGATACAATCACTGATAAATAAGGTATCAAATGGGGTCATATATGAAATAGTGAAATGCACAACATCAATTGAGTTGTAAAATTAGTGCGTCTAGTGCCACTCGTATTTATTTAATTTATAAGTTTGGCACGGAACTGAATTTTCGAACATAAAATGGAAGTCAAGGGACTAAACTAGAAGAAATATATTGCTAATGAACCTGAAAACGTTGATGTGCCTAAAATTTGAGCCGTACCAAAATCATTTAAGGCAATTGTTGGGGTCCACTTGAGAGAACTTAAATCTACCTTGAAAATACAACAACTAGGGGACCCTTAATGTGCCAACCCTAGATCCTATTTCATCAAATAAACAAGAAATGTGACTTGGAGAAGCAGTTGAGCTAAAACTTTAGGAACAACCACCACCAAACAACTCCTGTATATTCATCATTTTAATGTTCTATTTCATTCCAATCCCATCAACCAATCCATGGCCACACAAGATTTCAGCTTCCCCACTCACAAATTTCCTTGCACCATCGATTCACCCCCTTTGTGGCGCTTATCTCCTGCAGCCAGCTCCAAAGTAGATTATCAAAATCATAGCGAAGAAGAAGAAGAAGAAGACGACGAAGAAGAGATCGTCAACATCAATGTAAAGTATTGTGATCAGAGAAGAAAGAGCTTTTCGTATATTGAACGCGGCACGAAAATGGTGGAGAAAGATCCAGAGAGTAGGGATCATGATCATGGGGAGGAGAAGATGGACATGCTTTGGGAGGATTTCAACGAAGAATTGAAGTCAAGAAGTAATACGACGTCGGATTATTCTGGTGGGTTGTCAAGAGAGATGCTTCACTTGGGTTGTGTTAAAGCTTTCAAGTTGACCAAAACGAATGCTGATCATGTGCTATCGACCAGGAAGCCCAGCGTGGTGCCGGTTATGAAGGTCCTGAAAAGGCTGTTCTTCCTCCATAACTCTCATCGCAAACTCAAGAAACCTACATGGTGATCAAATTGTCTACCTTCAGTCTCTTTTTATTTTATTTTTTATTTTTATTTTTTTTTTGGTTCTTTCTTGTTTTTTTTTTATAAAAAAGAATAGGATCATACTAGTGCTGATTTATTGTAAATAATTTGATAATATATATAGACTATTGTCTGTTTAATAAAAAGAAGGATCAGGTGTCACTCATGACCAAGTCATGCTTTGCATATGATCTCATTTCAGTGCATTTTCTTTAGTCTGCAAGGATAAGCTTGTATTTTTATTCCTTTCTGATACAAATCTTTCATTCAGTCTTAGTTTTACATTGTAATTTACTTGCACAATAAAGTGAATTCTCAGTATAATAAGTGGTGAATGTGGGTTAGTCGTTTTAGTGCGGGTTTTGTTTGCTTTAGTTTTGTTTTTGTATGTTAGTTTTGTTGTCCTTTTAGGATTTGTGTTTTGTTAATTTCAGAGAGACATGTCAGCGGCCCACTACTGGCAACACCGATATTGTCCCCAACTTAATTATCTTCAAAGCCCAATAGGTGTGGGGTTTTATCACAAAAGGCCTCGGTAATTTTAGTAGCGGAACCATTCATTATATCTTGTATTTTATTTAGTTAAGTTTTCGATTTGGGACTTATATTCTTTAACATGCCCCCTCACATGATATAGTGGGCCACACGTGGGGCTAAGTCCACATTGGAGTCAAACATTCAAGCCCAATATGTGAACACCACGTATTGAGTAAGGGCTAAGGGTAAACATTGAAGCCCAACATGTGACCACCACATATTGTGTAAGGTGTATGGGTAAAGGTCTAATATTTCAAGCTTAGTCATTCAATCCCTCTGATACCATGTTAAATTTCAGAGAGACGAGTCAACGGCCAACTACTAACAACACTGATATTGTCCCCAACTTAACCACCTACAAAGCCTAGTAGGTGTGAGATTTTATCACAAAAGGCCTCGGTGATATTAGTAGAGGGATATTCATTATATCTTGTATTTTATTTAGTCAAATTTCTGGTGTGGGACTTATATTCTTCAACATGTTTTATATATCATGTTCATGTGTTTACTTGTATTGTTGAAGTATAATAAAGTTTCTCTTTGATTAAAAAAAAAAGTTTAACTTTATTATGATTATAAAATGATAGAACCATTGCCAACGAGGTCTAGCCTAGTTGAAAATGGTATTGATTTGCATACCAGAGGTCTCAGGTTCGAAACCCATGATATCTTAGTTGTGTGCGTATGTATGAGAAACCCTTTATAGACTATCTCTTGTACTTGTAAATATAATAGGACCATATAGGCCTAGCCAAGGCCGACTCATTATATCCAAAAATTCTTCACCTTTAGGTAGGGCTTGTGCTTAGCATAGTCTAAAATATCGATAATATCGATGAAATATTGAGGATATTATCGTTTTTTCGAGTCACGGATATTTCGGAACGTATCCATACACATATCATATAAATATCGACAATATCATAAAATATCGATGTCGATAATTTCGCTCACACTTCAGCAATATTTTGTCAAAATTTCGCTATAATATCGAAAATATTGGCATAATAAAAAAAATGAAAAGAAAAAAAAACCTTTCGAGTCACGGATATTTCGGAACGTATCCATACACATATCATATAAATATCGACAATATCATAAAATATCGATGTCGATAATTTCGCTCACACTTCAGCAATATTTTGTCAAAATTTCGCTATAATATCGAAAATATTGGCATAATAAAAAAAATGAAAAGAAAAAAAAACCACACAAAGCACACATGCAAAGGGGATTCAAACCCCTGCCATTTCACTCCTACAATACCTTAACCACCATGTTACTTATGTTTTTGTGATAACATGCTAAAATATGTATACTTTTATTGTTTTGTTTTGAACTGTTTTTGCAAAAATTAGATTTACACATGAGACTGTGAGTCTTTGACCTCTCCCTTTTGGGATGGAATCGAGTGGCTCATGGAAAAAATCCAAGACCCAATCTTCAAATGATTTTTTTTATGGACAACGTCAACCAATTTTGGATCCATATGGGTGGCATGTTAACAATTACATGCAAAACTATTTTGGGAATTTATCATTTGATGACTACTCTTCACATAGAGATGATGAAGATAATGAAAATTTTGAATCTCATATGAACTCTATGTGGTACTAAATCACTCATGTATCTTACCATGCAATATATAAAGTGTAAAATATTATAGTAAATCATTATATATAAATGATTATGATGTGTTTAATATTCATTCATTAATTACTACATATTTTCTACACTTACAGTGTTTGTCAGATCGCTGTATAGTCAACTTAAATCAGTTAAACCCATCATGCAATGCATTTCCTCCCAATTTTTTGTGATAAACTAATAAATAATTGACTAAATAAACATCATCTAAAGTTTCAATAAAAAATTCCAAGTTTTTCTTATAATTTCCGTGGTTTTTATTCAATTTTTACCGATAACAATAATATCCTGATACCTCCATCAAAATTTCCATGTTTTTGGACTACCAAAATTTCCGATATCATTAATATTTTAGACATTGGTGCTTAGCTTATTTAAGATAGGGCATGCCCAACACAATGGCAAGACCTAGCCTTTTTGTTTAGAACCCATGAGAAGCACTATGTATGTCCGACATCCAGTAGATGTCGGGCCCATAGTACTAAATTAGTCATAACCCATAACTGAAAACGACGTGAGGGGAAAAACTCAAAATACCTTATTCCAGAGCCAATTAAAGTAGCTCAGTGCTCTAGAAAGAATAGCCCCTCTAAATAAATGGAACAGTAGATAGAATACCTTGATAATTGGTAACGGCAAAAAATCCTTTTTGGTCCATGTGGTTGATCACTTTCACCACTAAGGTCCACGTGGTTTCAATTTGTCACTTTTCTAGTTTTCAATTCCAAACAATTTGAGGACATTGCCCAATTTCTCCTAAATTGTTCTAATTGCTGTTACTTATTGAGGGCATTTCGGTCTACAAATTATTTAAAAAATTCATTCCTTTTTAAAATAAGCAATTTAAATTTAAATTTTTAAAAATTAAATTTTAAAATTAAAATAAAACCTCTCTCTCCCCTTCTCCTCCCAACCCAATTGCCCAACTCTAGCCAACCACCACATCCTTATAACCCAACCCAACCACCATCACATCCACCCAAGCCTGCCCCTACCCCAAACAAATCAAATGCACAACCACATTGAATCAAATCCCCATGAAGCTTTACACACCTAACATATTATCACAAACAAATTCTTCCCATAATCGCTTAGGGTTCGTTTGAAACTGCTTCTTTAGGAAGTACTTCTCCTCATAAGTGGTTCTAATAAAAGTGATTTTATTATAAAGATGTTAAAATGTTCATAAGAAAGCACTTAAGAGTGCTTCCTGAAAAAGCATTTAGGAGTGCTTCTTGAAGAAACACATATCACATGCTTCTCCGAAGAGCACTTCTACGACCTAGAAGTACTTAAGAATGCCCAACTTCAAATGGCCCACGTTGACCAAGGTTTGATGTTTCTTTTTGCCCCATATCGTCAACTCCAACCATAAGTGTGTTAACTTCGATGACGTGATAATACTATTTTTGTAACTTTGTACACATGAACCATTATCCACCAATCTTAATGATGTGGTAAGGTGGAACCCACCTCTAGTATGGACCAAAAATTAATAAAAAAAAGAGTACTTACCTTTATATAATTTAAAACATTAAAATTATCAATTATATAACATAACAATATAAAAACTTTTTCTTTAGATTTGGCCACAACTCTGAGAATCAAATAGAAAATAAATCTGAAAAAGTGCTAAAGCAAGGAAGAACAATGAGATGCATAGATGATAAGGTGAATGGTTGTGGTACTGGAGATGGACGACATGATTTGTGGTGACATGGAGGTGGCAGTGGTGAACGAAAGAGATGACGATGAGGAACTTGTGTGTTTTTTTCTTCAAAATTATTGTGTTGAAATACTGTTAACAATGTTAAATTTCTATTTAGTCATATGATCTGTGTCAAAAATATAATAAGGAAACATGGGGTGTGCATGGGGGATTTGGTAACAGGAAAATTGAATTGAATTTGGGGGGAGCTGTTTGGGCCAAAAATTGACACACCCAGCCCAGCGAAAAGATGGAAGCCCAAAAAACCAGAAGAGTCCAGCCCAAGGCTCATCAGAGCAAACAAAGCTGATTTGGGCCTCACAGGCCCAATATAATAGGAAGAGGGAGCCCAGAAATAGGAACAATCCCACGTGACATTTCTGGGATGAAAGTCAGCAATGGCGACTGTCATAGAAGAAGTGATTGAAGGGTTCATGACATTAAGTTGATTCTGAAAAAACTGAAGATCAAATCCCTCTTATATATGTATATTCAGAGATTTTTTCTTTTGTCCTTTCAGAGAAGGTAATTCTCCCAAGGAGATAAGCAAGTTACAATCTCAGAGAGGGATAAGCAGGAAAGCAGAGAGCTGTCCAGAAAAGGAATCAAACTAACCATCACGGGTAAAATATCACAAGGGGCAGTAGAAATTGG